GCATCTGATGTCCATGAAGTTAGGAAGATCCTGGGAGAGAAAGGAAAGAACATCAAGATTATCAGCAAAATTGAGAATCATGAAGGAGTTCGAAGGTAAGTCCCCAATCTTCCCCACTTCAGTTCCATTTCAGCATTCTGAAGGGCAAGATTTATCCTGTGACTACACTTGCCTATCAGAATGCAGCCTCCCAAGATTGATCTAGACTCATTGAATCAGAGTATCTTGGGAGAGCAGAATAATTGGTGTTTTTAAGTTTCTCATGGTTTTTCAGGTGAATGGGATGCTGGAAGCTTGGCATTGTTCCATGGGCCTGGGGACAAGCAGTGGAGTGGACTGGACTAGGTCACCAGGTCCAGGGCCATCATGCTCTACTCCTGAGCAGGAGCACTATCAGTGTTGGCTAGAATAGGGAAATAGCAGGTACTTAGAAAGGGCCTCCTTTTTGACATGTGGAAGCTTAGGGCCTTTTGGACTTCACCTAGAAAACAGCTGGCCTGGTGATCAGTCTAATTCTGGTATGGTTTGTTCAGCTCCCATTAGGGAAACATGGGTCCTCTCCAGGTTCAGGTTGCTCCACCTGAGCTTAACCATTTTCCCAGTGCTCACAAAGTAGAGTCAAATGAGTACGATCAGTTTTTAGTGACAGTGTCTTGGGAGGGTGAGAAGAGCAACCTCTAAGCCCACTGTTATGACCTTACTGTCCTTAACCTTTGTTTAGGCAATTTGAAATTCTCCTCTTTGCCATTCTGTTAAGCCATGGGTGCTAATTGACTTTGGCTCAAACCACATCAGGCAAAAYCACATGGGAAGGAACCACCATAAAATGTTCAGCCTTCAAATGTTCTTGGCTAAATGAGGTTGTGCATTTTTGTGTTTGAAGCAATCAGCAGGCCTTGGGTTTACTTTCTTCCTTGGAAGTGGTGATTGGACAGTGRAGATTTTAGGGAGATAATCAAAGGGGCTCCTTATAGGAGGCAGACAGAGAGGGAAAAGGAGCCCATGGGATTTCTGAAGAGACCTTGTCCCTTCCCCCTGTTTCCCCTCAGTGAAGTATCCATATTGGAGTTGAAGAAGCCTAGCAGAATTGTTGGCCCATCCTGTGTGGCTGAGATTGCTGGAAAGTTTTATCTCTTCCACACACCTATGGTGACATTATATATGGATATCTATGTCAGAGAATCTCTGACATCTTCTGGTCAGTAGTTGTACTTGTGGCCCTTGCTCTCTTTATCTCTTCCCCATTTTCTCATCAGATTTGATGAGATCCTGGAGGCCAGCGATGGGATCATGGTGGCTCGTGGTGATCTAGGCATTGAGATTCCTGCAGAGAAGGTCTTCCTTGCTCAGAAGATGATGATTGGGCGGTGCAACCGAGCTGGGAAGCCTGTCATCTGTGCTACACAGGCACGTCCCCCCTCCTGTGTTCTCCTGTTCATTTTCACATGCTTGTATGGGAAAGTTGTAGAGCCTAGCCAGTCTCTTCCTATGTATGGACCCTGTGGCACTTAACATACACACTCATACCCCCACCCCCTGGTGCACTTACACAAGTTGTGCTCTATGAACCTACACACTATGTCCCAAGGATCAGCTTACAGTCATTTGTCTCTGAAGAGAGCACAGGCCAAGTCTTATCAATGCTTTGTCCTTTTCCAGATGCTGGAGAGCATGATCAAGAAGCCCCGCCCCACCCGGGCTGAGGGCAGTGATGTGGCCAATGCAGTCCTTGATGGAGCCGACTGCATCATGCTGTCTGGAGAAACAGCCAAAGGGGACTACCCTCTGGAGGCTGTTCGCATGCAGCACCTGGTGAGTAATTAGGGCCCACGCTGTGCCCTATGCTTCCAGCTGGTATGGAGGCAAGCTCTAGCACAGAGCTTTTTAGGCTTCTGCATCCTCTTAACCAGGGTCTTTCATGGTCCTTAGTCACTGCAACAAGAGTGAGGGGGTAGGGGTGCAGGGTGCCTCCTGGTTTGTTTGTTTGTTTGTTTGTTTTGTCTTCCCTTCACACACCCTCTCCTATTTCTGGAGGCATCCTCCATCAGACATCACAGTGTTTCTGTGGCTCCTTTCCTTGATTTTCAAGTCCTGGGGTACTGATATAGTACTTTTAAACTCTGGACAGTCCAGAGGGCCTGAGTGCCTCTGCCCTATTCTGAAAAAGGCCATGCTCCCAGCTGTGCTTACTGTTTGCCTTCTGATTCCCCACCTCTGGGCCTGCACTGGTGGGTGTTGCCCACATGAGCTGCCTGAGCTGGCCTTGCATGGTGCCTTCAGCATGGGATCTACTTTGATGTGCCAGACCAAAAAGTGACATCAAGTGACTAGTGGAAAGGCACTGAGCCTTGCGGGCTTTGGACTGAGAACTTCTGGGGAGATATGGGTGTTCTTTCTCCCTGAGAAGGAGTTCTTAGAGATTTCCAGCTTGGTTGTGTCCTTCTGCTGCTCTGCTTTTCAGAKATAAGAGTTCCAGTTCCTTTGTCCTGCTTGATCCCTCCCTGGAACTTTCCAAAGAATTAACTTAGGGATTAGTTTTTACGGCTGCTTGTGCCTGATAATGTAAGTGTTATGAATTAACTTTTTCCTGGTAGTTCTAGGTCAGTCTCTATAACATACACCTCAGTGAAATTTCCCCGTATCTGTTCCCTTTTTAGCCAACAAAGGAACCTTGCCCTTTAGCCCTTTGTATGATCCCCCTTTTTGTCAGGTCCCCAAATAAYTGAAAAAACAAACCAACTCTGTACTAAGTATCTCTTTTACTTTATATATATCCTGTTACTGGGCTTAAGTAGCCTTCTGGTAGTGAACTGAGTTCCTACCCAAGATTCTAGTCCTTGAGGCTATTGTTGGCATCCTGGTGAATTTCCCCATGTTGAAATGGGTAGAAACCTCATCCCTTTTTGCAGGGATGTTTCTGTAGCCTGGCCCTGGGCCATCCATACRTCACCCCATTTGTGTGATATGATTGCTGTTCCAGTGGTCAGATACTCTTGGCATATTCTCAAAGCTGCCCTGTGGTGGAAGGGTGCTCCTAAGTCTGTCCCAGATGAAAGTGCCTCTCAGCCTATCACCTCTGGAGCAGCCACCTTTCTGCATCTCTACATGTCCCCCCTCTATGTCTTGCTTAGTTATGTGACTTTCTGGCCTCAGGGGTTGGAGGCTGACCTTGACTTGATTTATTGAACTTTGAAACCAGATTGTGAGTACTGTATGTCTTTGGACAAGTCAATTAATATCTAAGATTCAGCTCTGGGTTCTGAATTCCATGTCATTTCTTCCATACCCTGGTCTTTCTGTGAATGGACAGACATCTTAGAGCTGCAAGGCTTGGATTGCATGGCACTGCTCAGAAGATAAGTTATGAGATCTAGGCCAGGTAGTAGCTGCTCCTCCAGGTGGTACAGGCCTCTCCTTTCTATCATCAGTTAACACTGGYCGCCACAGCCTCCCTTAACAATTCATGGCTTTCTCCTATGTCTAACCGATGCAATTCATGACCCATAGTTAAGAGCTAGGCAGTACCAGGTATGGTCCTGTTTCCTGTTCATGTCCACTATCCTTTGGGCTGCATGCACTCCATTCTTATAAAAAGAATACTTTTAACCTGGTATACCCTGGCACGCATCTGCTTATACTGCTGAATTAATAAGATGGTATTAGTCTTATCTACTGTTCACTAAGGTACTGGTAATGGCATTATAATCCTAAAGCTTAAATTTTCTTTCTTAGTCTTATCTGAGCAGGCAGTCTATAAATAACTTACTGGCTTTCTCATGACCATTTTAATCATTAGATTTTAATCAGATGTCTTGTTAAACATGTCTGCATGCTTCCACAGGCCTCCATATCTTCACATGGCTGTGCAAAGTGCCCCTCACAAGTTAGCCAGTTTCCCTTCTCCTAATTTGAGAATTCAGCTGTGTAGCTCTGGCTTTATGTTGACCCCAGCTTTGCAGCACTGTTCAGTCTGTTTCCATGGCAGGCCTTGGAAAATACACTTTATCCATGAGGTAACCCTGCCTCGTCCAGACAGCCATGTGAGAAAGGAGGCCCTGTTTCTTGCTATAAGCTGTGTCATGAGGCAGCGTGGTCAAGTCCTCTGCCAGGGAGTAGTGTGGGTTCAGTCTACGCATGTCTTTATGCCCAGCTGCTAGAACCTACCCACCATATTGCTATGGCTCTAACCAAAAAAAATCCTTCTAGGATGGAAGTCCCAGTTTCCCCTATATCAGAGGGGAAGAAACAGTTGAAGCACAAAATTTTCCATACCTCCTAGAGCAGGTGGACTTCCACCATTCTGCCTCTGTGTCTGCCTGAACAACAGATTTAACCTAAGGTTAAATCTTTCGTCGTTCTTACCTTCCTCTCTTATTAATTCCCCGTTCTATCTTTCCATGTGTTGTCTCTTGTTTGGTTTTTTTTTTTTTTTTTTTCCTTCTTTATCCCTTTTCCTTGCCCTTCCTTCTCCTAAACCTTACAGATAGCTCGGGAGGCTGAGGCAGCCATGTACCACAGCAAGCTGTTTGAAGAACTTGCACGAGCCTCCTGTCTCTCCACAGACCCTATGGAGGCCATGGCCATGGGCAGCGTGGAGGCTTCTTATAAGTGTTTAGCAGCAGCTTTGATAGTTCTGACGGAGTCTGGCAGGTAGGGCCCCAAGGGCAGGTACCACTATAGGATAACCAACTTCTTGCTTGCTCCAGCCAGCCCTGCACTTGGCCCTGGCATACAACCTCTTCTCATCTGCAGGAAGGCAGCCAGGGAGGTCATGACAGGGCAGGATCAAAGAGTCCTTTGTCTCATTAGGCATGGTAGAAGTCACAGGCACCTGGTGAAGGACTGCTTCCTGTGGAGTTTTGCTCTTGCTCATCTCCAAACCTCCAGTGACTATGCTCTTCTTGGCCTTTGTGCCCAGGGATATGTTCCTTGCCAGCTGTCTGTAACTTTTTCCCCACCCTTTCCCTTTGTGACAAAGCTCTGTCCCTCTGGACGGATATTGCTCCCCTAGATTGCCCGTGAGGCAGAGGCTGCCATCTACCACTTGCAATTATTTGAGGAGCTCCGCCGCCTGGCGCCCATTACCAGCGACCCCACAGAAGCCGCCGCCGTGGGTGCTGTGGAGGCATCCTTCAAGTGCTGCAGTGGGGCCATTATCGTGCTCACCAAGTCTGGCAGGTAGGAGGTGGCAGTGGCTCCCTGAGGATACCCTGGTCTGGTGGCACCTCTCCTTGGGGGTTCTGGGAGTCGTGCATTGAACAGTGCTCAGATGATGCTGAGTCAAGGTAAGGACTGTCTAGCTGCCACCTTCCCAGCTCCCTCAGTCCAGGATCCCAGCATGGGCAGAGTTCCTTCCTCAAGCCTGGAGGACTATAGGCAGCATTCAACAAATGTGTTTATCATTTGGATTCAAAGCAAATGATTCACAGTGAACTATTAAAAATTGCATAATGATGGATAGGCTCTAAGTACCAACTGCAAATGGTTATTTGATATTTAAAAGCTGGTCTTCTAGCTTTTAAATGGTGCACACCAATAATCTCAGCAATTTAGTGAAGCCATAAAGAACTTAGCAAGATCCTGTTTTAGAATTTAAAAAATGTGTGGGTGTAGTTCAGTGGTAAAGGGCCCCTGGGTTTAATCTCCAGTATTCTTCCTTTAAAATGGCATAAGATAGGGGCTGGGGTTGTGGTTCAGTGGTAGAGCGCTCGCCTACCATGTGTGGGGCCCTGGGTTCTATCCTCACCACCACATATAAATAAATATATTGTGTCCAATATAACTAAAAAAAAAAAAATTTTTTTTTAAATAATAGCATAAGACAACCAGTTTTGTTTGTAGTAGTTACTGTGTACTTTTAAAAAAATCATTTGGAAAATTAATGCTGTTCACTATGCCCCTATTTGGTACACTGGTTCCTATTTGCACCCCAAAGATGAGTCTGTCCTCTCTAGGAAAGGTTGCTATGCCATTTTGCTGGTATTCTTTGGAGTTAAGGTATACAGGCCTGTGGTTGGCCTTGGRTTTGAGGTTCCTTCCTAGCCTGGGACATTGTCTTACTGTCTCTCAATCTTCTAGTCTGGGGAGTGTGCTCCTTGACCTCGACAGCAGGATGGGAAGTGTTTCCTGGAGGTCAGGGTAAAGAGGAGAGACAGGCAGTGCCCATGCACTGAGGATTGGCAAGTGGGCTTMCCAAAGCACCAGGGTACAGGGCCTGTGTGGATTCCCTCAGCAGAGGCTCCACGCTCTTGCCTAAACAGCCATTAGGATTGACCTTTGTGGAAAGGGCCAACCCTTGCTATTTGGCTATTTTTAGCTCTRGTCTTCTGGGATTTCACTCAGCTGGACTGGACTTCAAGAGCTATTTCTCCCTGAAGGATGTGTATGGAGGCCAAACTTGAAGCAGTGTTCTGCTATGATCATCTTAAATTTCCCTGACACCTGTTGTGTGTCCTCAGAGCTTGCCTTCTAGGGCCCAGTTCTTTCTGCAAGGTGCTCCCCAATTTCTGAAACACATCTGCATCTTATGTATAGTGTCARTGTTCAAGGAAGCAGTTGGCAGAGGAATTTCAGAGGTTCCTGGACATGCTTCCACACCACCATTCTGTTTTTGCCTTTTGTGTAGCACCCAGAGTTCTACCTGCTCACCTGGGTTCTATATTATATCATAGAACTTCTAAGTTTCCTTTTGATACTCAGGTTTGAACTTGAGGGTCTAAAGTCCAGTTGCTGGCACTACTTGGGGGACCTGGGAACCATGTGGGGTAGGGAAGGGGATATAACAGTTGAGAAGTGTCATGTTGTTGATTCCCCGAGGGCTGGTCACTCTGCTGCAGGGTGTTTTTTTAATATTTTAGTTGGACACGATATCTTTCATTTATATATTTTTATCAGTGCTGAGGATCAAACCCAGGGCCTCACACGTGATAGGCAAGTCGAGCCACAATCCCAGCTCTGTGCTGCAGTTCTTTGCCCCTTTTAAGAATCGGGTGCTTTTCACATGCTGCTTGGCTTGTAGCTGTTGGCTGGCAGCAAGAGCAATGGGTGCTGATGAGGTTGGGCCAGGGCTGCCTTTCTGTGCCAAATGGAAGAATTTAGAGGTTCTGGCAACCAATGGGCCATGTGGGTTAAATGGGTAAGACTGAGAATCCCACATCGGGATGATCAGCCAATGGGAGGGGATGGAATGGAGGGCAAATGGCAGCATAGCCTTCYGGAGGGGAAGATACAAGATTAGGAGCTCCCCAGCCTTGGGAGGCAGTTCCCTACTTTCCAAGGGAGGCGCGGGAAAAGCCCTTTCAGGCTGGCGAATTGAGTTGGATTAGAGTGAGCTACTGCTGAAGGCCATGTTGTGCTTCCTGGGAGGCTTCTGGGGACACTGTTTAATGGTCTCTTCCTGTTCCCATTGCATTTCAGGTCTGCTCACCAGGTAGCCAGATACCGCCCACGTGCTCCCATCATTGCGGTGACACGGAATCCTCAGACAGCTCGCCAGGCCCACCTGTACCGTGGCATCTTCCCTGTGGTGTGTAAGGATCCAGTCCAGGATGCCTGGGCTGAGGATGTGGACCTCCGAGTGAACTTGGCCATGAATGTTGG